CGCCTCGAAGAAGAAGGACGCCCAGCGACGCGACCTCAAGCAGGAGCTCCTGGTGTCCCTGAACCGCAACACGGCCTTCTGGTACGAGGTCACGTCCCGCCTCAAGACGGTGTCAGGTCAGCCCGAGGCCCCGGCGCCCGAGGAGCCCCCTTCGCCGCCCTCGCCGCCCTCGCCGCCGAGCAAAACCAAGAAGCTGAAGGCGGCGATGAAGAAATTCAAGAAGCTGAAAGACAGAAATGGCCAGCGAGAGAGCTCTGCAGGTTCCTCGCCGTCGTCCCCCCCTTCGCCGTCCCCTTCCTCTCTCCACCTCCCCCCCGTGCCTCAGGACAGCCCCCAGCGGTCCAAGTTCTTCCAGGCGGCCTCGGCTGTGATCACGGCGGAGAGGAACTACTACAGCCTGCTCCCTCCGCTCAACTCCTCCTGGTCTGAGACGCTCGACGACCTGTTTCCTTCGCTCGTTCAGGTGCGGCGGAGAAAGGGGGTGATTGGGGGGGGCTTTGTGGGCGTGTCTGCCTGGCGTTGGTTGAGAGATAGGTGTTAGTTTGTGATGGCGTTTAGAAGTGGATGAACTGAGGATGACTGAGAGAAGGATGTTGGCTTAGGCTAGTGTTTTTGTGGAAGTGAATCGACATTAGCTGAGAGGAAAATGTTTTTAAGGTGAATTGACCATAACAGAGATTTTTTTTTTTTTTTTATTATTATTTTTTTTTAAGTGGATGCATTCGTGCGTAAACCGAGGGATAGATGTTGCGTTATGTGAATGTTTTAATTAAAAAGTTGACACTGACTGGGAGGGAAATGTTGATTTATGTGGATGTTTTTGACGTAGATGAATTGGTGTTAACAGAGAAAAAACGTTACTCTATGTGAATATTTTTAAAGTAGATTACAACACACGCTGCTATATGCAGGTATTTTTAAGTATATGAATTAGCGTTTTCTGAAGGAAAATTTACTGTGGGTACCTGTACTTTGAATTGAAGTTAACATGGATGAAATAAATATTGCTTTATGTGCGTTTGTATATAAACGAACTGGCGATATCTAAGATGAAGCTTTTGCTTTGTATGTAATTGTGGGTAGACTAGTTTACGGTAAAATAAGAAAAAAATAGCTTCTGTCTCGCTATAAGTATATAGAACTAACGATTACCAAAGTGAAATATGTTGTATTATGTTTATAAGTAGATTGACTGGCGGTTAGTATAGTCAGTTGTCCGAATGGCGATGGAAACTTTTTTTTTCTCTATTCCATGTAATCTATTTTTCCTCAAATTTTATCATATTGTGTCACTGAATATACACACGTAAGAATCACACAGAAAAAAAACATTATGAAATGAATTACCTAACCAAGCATTCATCTTCCGAATCCAATCTCCCGACACTTCAGACGTACGCAAAACTACTCAAATCTCTTACATTTAACCAAGACCTGAATTCGGCAAATATTCTAAGACCTCTTCACCTCTTCCCCCCCCCCCCCCCCACTGCAGGACAGCGAAGATTCGGGTCTTGGGGGCGAGAAGAAGCCGGCGAAGCGACGCCCACGACGAGGGGGCAAGAAGAAGGGCGAGGAGGGCGGGCTGGACGATCCCGGCCAGACTGGGGTAAGAGAGACATACAGACATACATACGCACATACATAGACACATACGCACATACACAGACACACATACGCACATACACAGACATAGATACACACACACACACATACACAGAGACACATACGCACATACATAGACACACAGCCACACATACGCACATACACATACAGACATACATGTACATATACATACACATACACACATGCATGTACATACACATACACACATGCATGTAAATATATATACACATTCACACATGCATGTACATACACATACGCACATGCATGTACATACACACACATACACACATGTATGTACATATACACAGACACACATGCACGTACATATACACACAGACACACATGCAAGTACATATGTATACACACAGACACATATGCATGTACATATATATACACACAGACATACTTGCATGTATATATACATACACACGAACACACACGTATGCACACACATACACACAGCCACACATGCATGTATATATACATACACACTTACAGACGTGCACATAATACATACACAGATACAGGCATACACACACACACATATACACACGTGCGTATGATACATACACACAGACAGACATACATAAGCACACAGTCACCTTGATAACTATAACCATTCCCATTATCATTATTATTGCTGTTAGTTCATTATGGCTATAATGAGTGTGATAATAATAGTACTGCTGTGTCACTTTCACCATCATTATCATTCATTTCTATTTTTCTTTTCCGAATTGTTATCATTATTATTCTCCTTATCGTTGATATCGTCACTGTATATATCATCATTATCTTTATTATCATTTATAATCTGCGATTCGTCTCCCCCCCCCACCCACCATTTCCCCGCCCCCTTCCTCTCTCACCCCCCCCCTGAACCCTTTCCTTCCTCCACTATTTCTCATTTCCACTTTTAAATTTGCTTTCTCTGCTCCTCATTCCCCTTCCACTCAATTCACTATTCTTTTCAACTATTTTATCATCCTTCCTCCATCTCCCCTTTTCCCCTCCTCCTGTTTATTCTACTTTTCACCCTCTATCCCCACTCCATTCCCTCCTCCTTATCCTTTCTTATCCTGTTATCTACTTCTCCCTCCCTTTATTAACATCTCATTTTTCTTCCCTACCCTCTCTTGCCTCTTATCCTTCCTCTATCATCTTGTTCTTTACTTGCTCCCTCTCTCCTTTTCCCATTTTCTCCCTTTTCCATTCTCTCCCTTTCCCATTTTCTCCCTTTCCCATTCTCTCCCTTTCCCATTCTCCTCTTCTCCCTTACTCTCCCCCTATAACGTCGTCCTTTATCTCCTCCACCTCTTTCTCCCTCTTCCTATCCTCACCTGTCTCTTTATTCATCCTCTATTCCCTTACTTCCTCCTCTCCCTTATCCTTCTCTACCTTTTTATCCCTTTCTCTTCGTCGCCCCTCTCTTCTTCGGGGCCTCTTACTCTCTATCTTTCCATATTACGCTCCCCTTCCCTTCTCTTTCTCTTCTACTCTCTTACCTCTCTCTTTCCATCCCCTCTTATCCCCTCTCCTCCCCTGTCCTTCTCTCCTCAACCCTCTCATCTACTTTCTTATCTCTCCCTTCCTCTCCCCTCTTACCCCTACTCTCCCCTTCTCCTCTACTCATTTACCTCCTCCACCACTTTCCTACCTCTCCTACCCCTTAACCCTTCCCTACCTATCCTCCCTCCCCCCCCTCCTCTCTCTCTCTCTCTCTCTCCTCTCTCTCTCTCTCTCTCTCTCTCTCTTCTCTCCTCTCTCTCCTCTCTCTCTCTCTCTACTTCCTTAACCTCCCTACTTCCCTTTCTTCCTCCACCACCCTCCTTCCCCTTACCCTATCCTCTCCTACACCCTGACCCCTCCAACCTACCTCCTCCTTCTCTATCTTACCCCTTACCCTCTCCCTCTCCAACTACCCTCCCTTCCCTTCTACCCAATCCCTTCCTCCTTACCCCTTACCCTCTTCCTCCTTCCAACCTACCCCCTCCCCCTTTCTTACCCACTCCCCTCTTCCTTCTTACCCACTACCCTCTCCTCCTCCACCCTCCTCCCCCTTCCCCTTCCCCCTCTTCCTACCCCCCTTACCCTCTCCCCTCCCCCTTCCTCCCCCCTCCCCTCTCTCCCTTACCCCTTACCCTCTCCTCCTACCCTCCCCACCTAACCCCTCTCCCCCCCCCCCCCCTCTGCCCCCTTCCCCCCCTCTCCTCCTACCCCCCATACCCCTCCTCCCACCTCCCACCCTTCCCCCCCCTCCCCCCCCCCCCCCCCCCTCCCCCCCTTCCCCCTCCCCTCCCCCCCCACAGGTCTCGACGGTGAACGACAGCCGGGCCGGGTCTGGGCGTCGGTCCGGCAGCGCCCACTCCTCGAAGCCGACGTCCGCCCGCTCGTCCAAGTCGTCCTCGGCCCATCGGAGGCTCCACGACCCTCTCTCGTACGACCCGAAGGTGAGCCTCGAGGGGGGGGGGGGGGTCGAGGGGGGGGTCGATTTTTTTTTTTTTTTTATGATGTTTTTTTTAAGAAGGTGATGAAGGAGGGGGGAGAAGGAGAAGGAGGAGATGGATGGTGTTCAGAGGAAAGAAGGATTAGATATATATAAAGTATATGATAGATCGATTTTAATTTGTTTTTCTAAGATGATGAAGGAGGAGGAGGAGAAGGAGGAGATGGATGGTGTTGAGAGGAAAGAAGGACTAGATTTACGAAATATATGATAGGTCGATTTTAATTACAATAGAATTGATATACGAAAGGATTTTTTTTTTTTTTTTTTTTTTTTTTTTTTTTTTTTTTTTTTACGATGGTGCTTGTGGTGTGTCCGTGATGATAATGGCTGTTCAAAGGAAAAAATGCAAAAGAACTTTCTGTTTTTGTTATTGAGCTCATTAATCGATAACAAGCAGTGGAAATATCTTAAAAAAAACAAAAAATAAAGCCAAAAAAAATCAAACAAATTTTTTTTCTCTCCTTCTCTCTCTGTCTCTGTCTGTCCTGTCTCTCTCTCTCTCTTTGTCTCTTTCTCTTCTCCTCTCTCTCTCTCTCTCCTTCTCCCTCCCTCCCTCCCTCCTCCCTCCCTCCCTCCCTACCTCCTCTCCCTCTCCCTCTCCCTCTCCCTCTCTCCCTCTCCTCTCCCTCCCTCCTCCCTCCCCCCTCCCTCCCTCCCTCTCCCTCCTCTCCCACCCCACATCCCAACATCACACCCCGCTCCTCCTCTCTCTCTCTCTCTCTCTCCCCAACAGCAATTCCTCGGAAGACAGCCACCCTCCTGAAGACGGCTCCGAACTGGCCAAGCTGCAGGAGGCGCTCGGGGGAGGTCCTGCCACCAACCTGACGGAGGCGGAGGTCTTCTGGCTGAGTCTGCCCCGGAGCCCTTCCCACAGGGCGGCCGTGTTCACACCCCGTGCAGATGAACTCGTTGGTCGTATCCCGGGAGGGTCGTGTTGGGAATGTTGTTCTTGTGTTCAACTGTGTAGGTTTTATAGGAATTTAGAGATAGATGGATAGATTGATTGAGTGATTTATAAATGCAAATAAATAAATTAATTAATTAATGTATTTATATATACACACACACATACACACGCACACACACACACACACACACACACACACACACACACACACACACACACATATATATACATATATATATACATATATATATATATATATAAAGAGAGAGAGAGAGAGAGAGAGAGAGAGAGAGAGAGAGAGAGAGAGAGAGAGAGAGAGAGAGAGAGAGAGAGAGAGAGAGAGAGAGAGAGAGAGAGAGAGAGAGAAAGAACACACACACATACAAACATATATACTTGCATACGTATATACAAACATACATAGATGGACAGATATATAGATAGATAGAAAGATAGATAGATAAACAGACAGACGGTTAAAACATTTCACATATTGTCCTATGTATATACATATATTTTCTGTATAAAAAAGATACACACACAGCTATACACATTGCTAATGATATTCATCAGATTTTTTTGTATAAATGGTCTCTAACGCCATTTTCAATAATAGATGTGTTTAAAGAGTTAATTTATTTGTGACCTAAATTTCGAAAAAATAAGGGTATTACTGTAGCATATATATATATAACAAAGGTTTAACATCATGCATGCATACCTAAGAATATAAACTTTTTTTTAACCATTCATACATCATGCATATAGTTATTCATGCTTAACCTATAATCATCTCTCATATTCAATTAATCTTTTCTTCACCAACGATTCTCATCCTTTTTCAAAAATCAATTATCCAATACATCTGATTCATTCGCCTTTGCTATGTATTAATTTCGAGCTAATATTTGCATACCAGGTTTGACTTCCTTGGATTACCTGAGAAAATACATGCAGTTGATAACATCTCGAAGACAACTCTATTCCTTAGTCTTTACGAGGAACAGGGATCTTGAGGTAAGGTGCAAAGAGAGGGGGAGAGAGAGAGAGGAGAGAGGAGAGAGAGAGAGAGAGAAGAGAGAGAGATGAGAAAGAGAGAGAGAAGAAGAGGAGTAGAGGTTTTAGAGAGAGTCAAATTAGGAAGAGACGAGGAGACTTGTGAAAGGGAGGGATGACGAGTGACAATTAGGAAGAGAGAGGATCGTGTGTTGAGGGAGCGAGAGACGAGAGAGGGAAAGGGGCGGACGGAGGGAGATGGGACGAGGGTAGAGGGAGGAGGGAGAGGGTAGGAGGGGAAGGGAAGAGGGAGTAGGGGGGTAGGGAGCGAGCTGGAGGGAGGGAGAGGGGATGAGGAGAGGAAGAAAGATAGTGGCAGAGAGGAGAGTAGGGTGAGAAATAGAGGAGAGAGAGAAGGGGGGTGAAAAGAGAGAGAGGAGAGATTGAAGATAGGGTAGATGGGAGTAGAGAAGTTGAGAGTAGGACGAGAGAGGAGAAGTAGGACGAGGACGAGAGAGAGAAGAGAGAAGAGGAGTTGTGCGCGGCTGGGCTAGGGAGGGGGAGGGAGGACGCAGAGGCAAGAGGAGGGGAAGGTGCGAGGAGAGCGTATGAGTAGTAGGGACGGAGAGTCAACGAGGAGACGGGGTGCGGGAGGGGGAGTCAGGGGGAGGGAGGAAGGGGAGGACGCAGGGAAAGCACGACTGGAGTGGTGGGAGAGAGTAGACGGGAAGGCGGGGTTAGGTGAAAGTGGTATCTGGCTAGAGGGGAGTGTGAGGAGTAGACAGATGTTTACTGCGTGAAGGTAGGGTGACGGGTGGAGGGGTGATTGAGAGAAGGTGGAGATGTGAGATAGTCGGCTGGGTGTGAGCTTGCGAGACCAGATGTGGAAGGCTGACTGACGGGAAGCACGTGAGTCAGAGCGGTCATGAAATCTTGGCCTATAGTTCGGCAATGGGAAGCGATGGGGAAAGGGGAGCAGGCGCTGAGGAGGGGATGGATGTAGATGAGAGCGTTGGCGGCGGAAGGAAAAGAGAGGAAGGAAGAGTGGATAAGGTGGAAGGGAGAGGAAGCACGGAGGTGGAGAGGTAAGGAGAAGGGGTGCGTGGGATGAGTGGCCTGGGTCTTCTATCTTCTTCATTGTTCCTCTCCTCTTCTATGTCGTCAGAGTCTTCCTCTCGTCTCGGTCAGTGCGTGCAAGGACACAGAAAGTAGCAAGGGTCTGCTGGAGGCGATACCGAAGCCGAGGCAAAGTCTAGTGGATCTCTGTGACGGTACGAAAATTTCAGACACTGGGGACGATGGAGGTTTTCTCCGACATATGGTAGTAACAAATTACTAGTTAAGGGAAGAATGCAGCGCGTAGTCCGCTCTCATGTAGGGAGAGACGCGTCCACGCCCGGGATAGTCAGGCACGCCCGGGCGCCGCCCCCCCCACACCCCCCCCCCTCCCCACTAAAGGGCCGCCCCCCGGGTTGTTCGGGTCGCCGCCGCCGCGGCCCCCCGCGCGGCCGTCGACGCCCACCTCCGCCCCCGCCCCCCATACCTGCAGCCCCGCGAGCGCGACGTCGGGGACGCGGTCCGCCACCAGAGGAACCTCCCCCTAGAGGCGGCGGGACCGGGTCGGTGGCGGACCCAACAACCCACACCGCACCGACGGAAGACGGAGGCGGCGGCGACCGGGGTGTCGCGTCGATAGGGAGGCTGCACGGGTGACTCGATAAAAGTATAAGAGAGAGAAGACGAGGAGAATTCATGAAGAGCCCAGTGATGTGGGGTAGAGAAGGTTGAAGGAGGGAGTAGAGTCAGGGATGACCCGCTCAGTGAGATGGGTAGAGGAACGGACGCTCACGAGAACGAGTGTCGGAGAGCTCACGAGAGAGAGAGATGCGGTGGGCGCCAGACGGAACGACTATAAGGTGAGGACGGAACGGACAGGAGGGAAGGGACGAATTGCAGAGAGGAAGAAAGGAAATGCGATAAGTACCCGAGAACGCTCACCGCAGCACGTGGGCCTCCAGCGTTCCCCCGACCCCCCTAAACGGGCCCACTTCGCTCTGCACCGAACCATTACGTCTAGTTCGGCAACTCACGCGCACGCGAGGCGCTGCTCTCGCGCTCGTGTAAGTACTTCGGAAGCCTCGCCCCGTTGTGGACGCCCGTGAGAGAGAGGCACTGAATTCCGGAAGGAGGCGCAGCGCTGGATTACGTGTCGATCGGGTCGTGATTGTTTGCGATGGCTTGATGAGGAGGCTCGGTGCCCCTGGACCAGGAGGTCGGCGCTCGAGAGGGGAATTTTTATTACGTTCGCTGCATCGGCCGCCTTTGACTCGAGCGCCTCTTCTGGCTACTGGTGACGTCCCGGTTTTTGTTGAGGGGTGGGAACAGCGCTCCGCTTAGGAGTGGTTTTGCTGGTTCCGTCGAAATCTCTGAAAGTTATCGTTTTCGCTGGGCCCTGCGCCGCAGTTTGAGAGCACTCATTAGCTGTTCGCTGCTCCACATTGTTTTTTTTTTTTTTGTGTTTTAACGAGATCCGGCGTGATGGAGTGAGGAAAATGGGTTATCTGACGTGGTTAAAGGAAGAGTTCCCGGGAAGGTAGAATTTATGACAAGTCCTATCGGAGATTTTAGGAGGACAAAGGAGATGAAATTTGTAGTGGCCGTATCCGCGGACGTTCCTTAATAGGTTTAGTTCCCCCTGCAGAAGAGGGAGTTTGGCTCTGTGAAGGATTCTGATCTCGACGGTGGCCACCCTCTTAAGCTCTACACCCGTGGCCAAGGGGTTATAGTGGATGTAGTAGAGGTGCTTGGATGTTCGTTCGACCGGACTATTTGATTTTAGAAAAGCGAGGGCCACGGCAGGAACGGGGGGGCACGCTTGAGCCCTGAAAGACAGGGGGGCAGATTCTAGCAGAAGTTTTGCCCCACTTGAAGGGGGGGGTGCAGGTGGGCGGGCGAAGTGGGGCGGGGGTGCGAGTGGTGGTCCCGTGCGACCGCGGCATAGCAGGCTCTGAGCAGCATTTGGGTTTGGTGTTTGGTTTTTGTGTGTTGGTTTGGTGGTTGTGGGGGTTGTTGTGTGAGTTTTTTGTGGGTTTTTGTTTCGTTTTGTTTGGGTTTGGGGTGTTTGTTTTTTTGTTTTTTTTGTTTGTTTTTTTGTTTGTGTTTTTTTGTGTTTATTTTGTGCACTCTTTATCCTTAACACACCAACCGGGTTCTGTACAGCACTTACGTCTGCTTTCGCCGACCGCTCCCTCACTACGCGCGTTTTGTTTTTTTTTGTTTTTTTGTTTTTTTTTTGTTGGTTTTGTTTTTTTCTCACTCTATTCGACACGTCCTTTACCATCCTCTGCCGCCAGCAGACACTTCCCCCATCTTAGAAGCTATAGCAGAACCTGTAGCACAGTTTTGTTTCTGCCCCCACCCTGTTCCCGTTTTTCTCAACCAAATTAGTATCCACCACACGATTACGGTCATTGCGCTGAGCATCCACTACTCTTCTTCGCCCACCCAATTCTCACCCAGTTCGTAACCGGTTTGACCCAAGGCAGAGCTAAAACTTGATCGTCACGCGCCAGCATGCCGAAAAGAGTGCTGGATGGAGACGCACTAGAGCCGAAACAAGATAACTCATGAGCTGCAGGGAAAGTATAGTCGAGGAGCTGCCCGCACGCATGAGACAGTCAGAAGGACATAGGGATGGAGAGTTTAGAACTGTAACGCGTACCATACGAGTGCTCAGTTCCAGTGCAGGAGCAGCGTGGCCGCTCACTGCTCCTCTCTCACACGAAACCAGACACAACACACACCAAACAACTAAACACAGCTACACGATTTTAAGAGCCACTGACTTCATCCCTGCATCTGCACCCAGCTGCTGCCCTACATCTCAGTACGAGCTAATAAATAACTACACCATTGGGAGGATTCCTCTACAGAACGGCACACAGAACAATGAAATCAAACGGATACTACCTGAATAGTTATTACGTAGATTATTCAGATCGCACT